TCCTAATTACTAACATTTGTACAAAAGCAATAAAAATGCAGAAAAATAAATCCTACACTATTACAACCATATTGAATAGCAAGAAAATATAAAGACGAAATAAAATAAAGAAAGGAAAATGGGCTTTTTCGATTCAGGCAGCAACGCTCTTCGATTCTCTACTTCTTGGCTTCCTTCGATTTAGGCCTGGAGTCAGTAAGGTCATGTCTTTAGATTTCACCCCCTTGCCTGTTTCTTCCGAATGGGACCTGGAAGTCAGTGTGACCATCCTTCTGGCTGCTTCTTTCGTTTGAGACCTGGAAGTCAGTGTGGACATCCTACTGGTTGCTTCTTTCGTTTAAGGCCTGGAGTCAACGTGAGGTGCACTCTTTACCTCAGGCTTCTTGCTGCCTTCTTCGACTGCAAGAATGCTAGGCCCTCAGGTTGAGATTCGAAAGGCTTGAGTACTTAGCCAATCGAAGGATACAGAGAACCTATTTTAAACTTTTAAAAATGCAACATTCAAGTGTAACTTTCGAAAGCTACATGCCAGGGGTTAGCATAAGATTATTGGGTCTCAAAATCCAAAGTATAACTAGTCAGGGTTGAAACTTTCAACATATAGGCAGTCAGGATCGAAGGTTAAAGCATGGTCAAACCCCCTAGATGAAATATCTACATTCTATTTATTGGTGTGTACACATGATATTAAAATGAAAGAATTTCAAGTTTAGAGAGAACTTACCTCTTGAAGCGCTTAAATCTAAGGAAACTGCAAGTGACTTCCTTGGTGGTGAACGAAAGTTCATTGGAGTCTCCCTGAGGCTAATCTAGTTACTACTTTGTTTGAGTAGTCACTGGATCGAAGGTTACTCTATAACATGTAAGAGAGTGAATCAAAAGATTATTATATTATGGTTGGGGGAATGTGTCGAAGGTTAGTTATCTGGCCACTAGAGGAGTGAATCGAAGGGTTCACTTAGTGTATGAAAGGGTCTGAGTTTTTTTTAGGAGTGTTGGGAATATTTAAAGAAAAAAACGTTGGATGGTGTTTGAGAGTTTTGAGAAATTTCTCACAACAAGAGTTTTATTGCAACTATCCCGGGGCCTCTAAGATGTGTGGTGGAGGCTCATATTTATAGGTGATATTGACAGATGTTTTAGGAGGAAAAACAAAAAGTTTTAACAAAAAAGGCATGCTGTTCTTGTAGCTTTCGAGGGGCAGTATTCGTATGCCAAATTGGTGCAAGAATAAGAGCAGTGTTGCAGGACTGTTGTGCAGCAGTTTTGGAGTGTTATGGCCAGTGTATCAGGCCTGAACTTGGCAACACATGAGACTCTGGCCAGCAAGTACCTTTGGATATCTCAATCTTTTGTTTTGACCCCCTAGTCCTCAACCAGACTCCTCAACAATATTTCTTTTCAAATCAAAGTGTCCTTCGAATGGCTCATATGGGTATCTTTTGAAGGGGCCCAAATAGGTGTCTTTCGACTAGGTCTTTTGTATGTTCCTTCGAGTGGACCAAAGGCATGCCCCTGGAATGGATCACCAAAATATGTCATTCGATTAGGACATACAAGTATGTCTGACAAGTCCTTCGAATGTGCCACCATGGTACATATTTCGAACGAGACAATGGCTATGTGTGTTGAAGCAAACTATTTCCAAGGGAGACACTGTCCAGTTGAAACTAGCGTGAAAGTAACCAATGCTTTATGGACGCCATTGCCTTGTGAATGCCAGCCATGAGGGAGATTTTTGCCTTGTGCATTCTGGCCTAAAGGGAGTCTTGGTTTTTGTGAGTCGAAGGGATCATGCAGAGGGCAAATGGCCTCTGAATCAAAGAAAAGCTTTAGGAGGCTATTGCTTTATGACTCCAAGCAAACATGCAAGGAGCCTTTGCTCAAATGAAGGGTGTAACCAAAAATGGAATTTAAAGGGGGGAAAACGCCCCAAATGAAAGATGCATGCAGAAGGTCTAAATGCCCAAAGGAAGCTTGCAACAAAGGAGGGTCACATGCCCCAAATGAAAGAGGCGTGCAGGAGGTCTAAATACCCAAACAAAGCTTGCAACAAATGAGGGCCACATGCCCCAAACGAAAGAGGCATGAAGGAGGTCTAAATGCTCAAACGAAGCTTGTAATAAAGGAGGGCCACATGCCCCAAACAAAAGAGGCATGCAGGAGGTCTAAATGTGCAATCGAATAAGACCAGAAAAGAGGCCTTTGCCTCCTGAATCGAAGGACGTCAACAGGAGGCTTTTTGCCTTGTAAATTGAAGTTAGTTGAAGGTAAGTGTTGCCCTGTCGAAGCTTGCAACAAGTTATTTCAAAGAGTGACTTTGGCCTTATGCATGCTAGCATGGTGGGAAATTCTTCCTTGTGAATTTGGCAAACATGCGGGAAAGAGGCTATATGGCCAAACGAAAGATGTATATCATTCTTGCACAAAGAGACTAAGATGTTCAAACAAAACAGGAATCAAACTTGTCCAAAAGATGTTCAGTGTCAAAACGAAGCAGAAAATGAACCTGCCCAAAAGAAATCCAGTGTCCAAACGAAGGGTGTAACCAAAATTTGCATCGAAGGAGTCAAAGTGCCTAATTGAAAGATGTAAAAATTGAAGAAAACTTGTTTTTTTCTTCAATTTTGTCAAAAAGAATATTTTCATCTGCTTTGCCCTTTTTAACAATTTCATATTTAACTTGATGTTGAAAAATCCAATTGTACTTGTGTAAGCTTGAATTTTTGAAATTCCTTGTGAGAAATGCCTTGAGAAATGAGATGACAAATTTTGGAGTATAACACCACCCCTATAAATATGTAACGTGGTGAATTCGGATATGCATGTTCGAATTCAAAATATATTATGAAAATTTTGTTATAGACCTTAAAAAAAAACATAAGGGTGCATTAAAATATCCCATCTTAAAAAACAACTAACAAGTTGTAACTTAGACATATGCGGTCCCGATAATCACAAGTCCAATGGAAGAAAAAGGTACTCACTTTCATAAATGATTCTAGTAGAAAAACATGAATTTATTCTCTAAATGAAAAATTAGAAGCATTTGTATTATTTCAAAAGTTTAAAGTTCTTTTTAAAAAGGAGTCAAGGTGTGAAGATAGGATCATATTTGCAAGCCTATGTAGATGACTTGATTTTTATAAGAAATGATCAAATCATGTTTGATGAATTCAAGTAATGCATGATAGTTTTCCATGACTGATCTTGGAAGAATGATGCATTTCTTAGAAATTGAATTCAAGCAAAAAAGAGATGACATTTCCATCCATCAACAAAAGCGTGCCTAATAAATTTTGCAAAGATTTGACATGAACAATTGTAACTTAGTGTGTAATACTATGGTTCCATGTTGCAACCTACTATGGTTCCATGTTGCAACCTACCTCGCAAAAGATTAATTTTGTAGTGTGTTGATGCTACTATTTACAAGCAAATGGTAGAGTGTCCCATGTATCTCTTAGAAACTAGACATGATCTTCCTAACTCAATTTATACATGGAGAGGACAACAGAAACTCCAAGTTCTGAAAAGTAACATCTAGTTTTTGCCTTGTGTATGATAAAGGCAAAGAAAGGAAGCTTGTTTCATGGTTAGATTTAAAATTTGAAGGAGACTTTGATGATAAAAGAAGCACTTTAGGATATAATCTTTTGGAACAAGGGTTATAGAGTCTATTTGTTTTAGTTTTAATTTTTTTTTTAATTTTTAAAAATGAATTTTATAAATCATTTTTTAATATATTATAAGTTCTTTACATTTGTTTTTTTTTTTAAATTAAATCTTATATAATAAATATATATTATTAAAGATCAAAATATAATTGAAATTACAATTTTTTCAAAAAAAATTATATTATAAAAATAATTTTTATAAAATAATTATTTGAAATAGCTTTAAAATTAAATGACTTTTTTGAAATTTTAATATTAAAAAAATTTCAATAAAATTAATATTCAAAAAAATAATAAAAGATCTAAAATAACATTTTAAAAATAACTATTCAATTCAAATTTTCATATGAAACTTTTATGAAAAAAAATTGTATAAAATTTTTTTACACAATTATGAGCTCGTTTGTTTTGTTTTTTTTTATAAATAATTTTTATAGTGTTACATAATTAGTTACAATTAAATTATGTAAAAAAGTTTTATAAAGAAATTTTTTATAAAAGCCTCAATTAAAAATTAGGTTTGAATAGTTGTTTTTAAAATATTATTTTAGGTATTTTATCTTATTGAAACTTTTTTTGGATATCAAAATTTTAAAGTCATTTAATTTTGAAGTTATTTCAAATAGATTTTCATAAAAGTCATTTTTGAAATACAATTTTTTTTAAAAATTGCGATTTTGACTATTAGTCTTCAATAATATACATTTATGTTATAGGATATCAAAATTAGTGTTTCAATTTAGAAAAAAGAAATATAAAAAATCAGAAAAACGGTTTTATAAAATCTATTTTAAAAATACAAAGAAAAAATCTATTTTTTAAAATTGAAACAAACAAGTCTTATGTAACCCCATAAAAATCATTTAAAAAAAAAGTCAAGACAAACGTACTCATATTCATCCAAAGAGCAGCATATTATAACTCTCTCAACCACATGGACAGAATTTCTAGTAGTGCTGTATTTTAATAATATGGCATTATTAATCTATTCAAGCATGCATAAAATTACCTTAAAAAGTATACTGAATGCTTAAGATTGCAGTTCAATATGTTCCAAAAAACTGTCAAACAAGAAGAGCTTACTTAAGTTAAGATTGTAGTTCAATATGTTCCAAAAAATTGTCAAACAAGGAGAGCTTATTGGTGTTTTCATGCTCTACCGTTGAGCTTCCTATAAACGATTTCAGAAGACCTAACCTTGTGTCCAAACTAAATGTTTTTTTAGCATGTAGAAAACTACCTTATAATGTTGCTTAATTGAATCACAACATAGATATTTTTTATTTTTTGTTCTTATTACATGACATGACTTTGGTAAGAGAATCACACCATTCTCCTTTTTTTGGCATCTGGTTCCTTTTCCTCAATGTTGTTATCATGAGTAACCGCGCTTGTTGCATCTTGAAGTTCTAACGCGTTTTTGACAAACATATACAATCTCCACGCGTTGTAGTTGCTCTGTATATTATAACGATATACTAAAATTAGTGAGTAGCTAAACAACACTTGCTAAACAAAATTAAAACTTTACAAACAAATTTAGAACATGAATGAAAGCAAACATTAGTATCAATAGATAATAACATGACAAACCTGAGAGTCGAGGTCAAGGGTCACATCTTCAGTAGTCACGTCGTCAACACTATATTGGAAATTTGGATTATTCTCATTAAGTATCTCTAACGCGTTGCGAAGGTTATCCGGAGACAATTTGGTAATTTCAGCTGCAAGTAATGATTTCTCCAGAGGTGACAGTTTCCTAAAGTATTGTCAACAACCAAAGAATGCATAGTAAGCAACATAATTCCATAACATGACTAAAGTTTCTTGCGATAACCGAAAGGGCAACTGGCTGCTATAAAATTTGGATCCAAATTTCTTGCAAAACACATTTGATGCAATCTTACAATAAGGACCACCAAATTCAGGGCCGTCTTAGAGGGTATGCAAAACAGGCTACTACGCAGGGTCCAAAATTTGTTACGGTTAAATTGTGGCTAAATAGGGTTTCATAAAATATCGTCACAACTAAATTGTGGTTAAATAGGGTCTCTGTTTGTTTTGTCATGGTTAAACTACGACAAACTTACAAAGGGCCTCCAAAAACTTGAGACAGCTCAGTTCAGATCAGTCATCATTTAAACTTAGTAAATTTGAACTAAAATATAAAGTTGAATTGTGGACTGTCTGATCTTGACTAGACAATTCAGATTGGTGCCAACACCGTGATTGTATGAATGGAAGAAATCTAAATTCATAAAACTCCCACCATAAAGGGGTTCTAGAAAAGAATCGGCTCATTGCAAGACTAAACACTAAAAAAGAATACCAGGTGACTCTTTCACGAACCTGCATTTTGCAATCATTGTAGTTTTGAGATTCGTCAAAGTCATATCTGCCTTAGAAAGCTGGAACAACAGAAATTAAATGTGCAAATTAGCCATCAGAAATACTTTTCTCATACATCATTCGAATTTATACACAACTCTGTACAAAAATTAATGAACCGACCTCAGCGCTTAACTTCCTAGTCATGTTGGCATAAGCAGTTTCTTGAGCAAGCTTTTTAGTCAAATTCTCACGTGCTTCTTCTTTTGATAGTTCACTCTCCTGAAATAATCAAGTAAAGAAAGATAATGTATCTAGGATGGCTGAAATCAGTGTTATTTCTTAAAACAACTGTCATTCATCCGAAAGAAAGGAAATTATTTTGGAAAAAAACAAACTTACCGCCTTAGCAACTTTAGGCAAAAGAAGCAACCATTTCTTCTCAAATTTGTGCAGCAGGGTCTTGGCCATCACATGGACGTCACTCTTTTCATCATTATTGTATTTCGTTGCATTATTAAAAATCAGCCTTACATCAGCATATATCTCCCTCACATTTTTATAACCAGAGCCATCTTTAGCATTCATTTTTCTTTTTATAGTGCTAAAATCCATAGGCTTCTCTATGATCTAGGGGCAGAAAAAACAAACAAATTGTTTATAAAAGAAGAGTTAACAGAGAGCTTTGATAACATAGATAGATAACAAGCTTAAGAGGGCCACTAGTACCGAAACACTGACCAAGCAAATCTAAACTGTTTTTCCAATGTGTATGTTATATTCGTATATATATAATGTTAAGAATTTTGTATGAAGAATAGTCTCACATCGACTATATCATAACATTAGTTGTAATTTCTCTATACATAATAAAGTCTCTATAGTACTTTTCAAAACACATGGTTTAACCTAAATGTCTCTTAGTCTCTCCTAAGTCAATATGGTATCTAGAGCCTACTAAGAGGCAATTCTTCGTCGGGTTTTATCCGGTTGACCCACTGTCTTCCGGTGACAAATTTTTTGTAAACCGTGTCATCACTCCGATTTGCCTCCCACTTTCCAAAATTCTCCGGTAACCACCGAACTGATGCCGCCATCTGCCGCTACTAATTTCGGCGACCTTCCGACAAACTAACCCTACCGGCAAAAGCGCCTCCTTCGATCCGGCCGATTCAGGCGATTTTAACACCACCGCACTCGCCACTGTGCAACTTTTCCAAATCCGATACTCATGGCTACTCCTCAGAACTTTACGCCGAACTATGATGATTTCCTCAAGTGGTATCAAAATTATCAGAACATTCTACTACTTCGGTTGCACACACTGGTAATAAAAATCTTTTCTCTTCCCTCTCTACCTCTGGTTTCTTACCTACAATAACTTCTGCCAATGGTTCTCAAACCCGATCCAAAGGAATTGGTACTGTTCAAATTCTACCTTCTCTCTGTTACTTCTGTTCTCTATGTACCTAATTGTCCATTTAATTTACTTTCAGTCAGTCATTTAAGTCGTTCTCTTGATTGTATTGTCACCTTCACTAATAGTAATGTCACCCTGCAGGATCGGAGTTCGGGACAGACAATTGGCGTCATATGTGAATCTCAAAGGCTTTATTACCTCTCAGTGTCATCTCAGACATGCTCAGCCAAAGATTCTCCACTCACAATCCATGCTCAGTTAGGTCATCCTAGTCTTCTCAAATTACAGAAGTTGGTGTCAAGTTTATCGAAAGTATCTAATTTACATTGTGAGTCGTGTCAGTTAGGGAAACACACTCGTAGTCATTTTCCCAATCGAGTCAATAAACGAGCTTCCTCCCCTTTTGCTTTAGTTCACTCCGATGTTTGGGGTCCCTCACGTACTATTGAGTCTAGGTATTTTGTCACCATTATTGATGATTTCTCACGTTGCACGTGGTTATTTTTAATGAAAAATAGATCAGAATTATTTTCTATTTTTGAAATTTTTTATAAAGAAAAAAAAAACTCAGTTTGGTGTGTCTATTCGTACCTTACGAAGTGATAATGCTCGTGAATATTTATCCCAATAATTTCAAACTTTTATGTCGAGTAATGGTATTCTCCACCAAACATCTTGTCCTCATACACCTCAACAAAACGGAGTAGCCGAACGCAAAAATCGGCATCTTGTAGAAACCACTCGGACCCTACTTCTCCATGGTAATGTTCCACACTTCGGTTTTGGGGAGACGCTATGCTAACGGCATGTTACCTTATAAATCGCATGCCATCATCTGTCCTTAACAATAAAATCCCTCATTCAATCCTTTTCCCCATTCCCCCTTTCACCCAATTCCTCCCTAAGTCTTCGGGTCTACATGTTCTGTACATAATCTCTCTCCTGGTCTTGATAAACTATAAACTCGATCACTAAAGTGTGTTTTTCTTGGTTATCATCGATCTCAAAAAGGTTATCGTTGCTATTCACATACCCTACAACGATACCTCATGTCGGCCGATGTCACCTTCTTCGAGTTTGTTCCATATTTTGAGTCCAGCCAAGTAACTCCGGAACCCTTTCAGGAGAGTACTCCCACACCTCTTCCGGAAGTCCCATATGTCATTATCCCCCATCATTCTAGGGAACCTGGCCCACTAGATAACCCTACGGTTAACCCCCCCGACTTCTCGTCCACTTCAAACATATCAGCGTCGTCAACCAACGTCTGTCGTACATGTCTCTGAGGTCATTGCAGACTCTCCTCCGACGCTCTCGCCATCACCGGATCCGATCTTGCAACCTGATTCCGATCTTCCGATTGCCCTTCGAAAAGGTATACGTCAAACACGAAATTCTTCTCCACATTATATTTATTTATGTTATCATCGTCTTTCCCATTTGCAGTATACTTGATTGTCTTCTTTGTCTTTTGTTTCTATTCCTAACACTCCAGGTGAAGCATTATCTCACCCTGAGTGGAGGCAAGCAATGATTGATGAAATGTGTGCTCTTCAAAGCAGTGGTACCTGCGAACTGGTTCCTCTACCCCCTGGGAAATCTTTAGTAGGTTATTGTTGGCTTTATACAGTGAAAGTTGGTCCAGATGGTAAGATTGATCGATTTAAAGCTCGCTTAGTAGCCAAAGGATACACTCAGATTTTTGGATTGGATTACAGTGATACCTTCTCGCCTGTAGCCAAGATGGCATCTGTTAGACTTCTTCTAGCCATTGCAGCCATTCGACATTGGCCTCTTCATCAACTTGACATCAAAAATGCATTTTTACATGGTGATCTTGAAGAGGAAGTATATATATGGAGCAACCACCTGGGTTTGTTGCTCAGGGAGAGTCATCGAATATGGTTTGTAGGTTACACAGGTCTCTTTAAGGTCTTAAACAATCTCCGAGAACTTGGTTTGGCAGATTCAGCACTGTAGTACAACAATTTGGTATGGTCCGTGAATTTGGTATGGTCCGTAATGAAGCTGACGTCCGTAATGAAGCTGACCATTCCGTCTTTTATCGTCACTCAGCCCAAGGGTGTATTTATCTTATTGTGTATGTAGATGATATTGTCATAAGTGGTAGTGATGAGCAGGGAATACTCCAGTTGAAACAACATCTCTCGAACCAATTTCAAACAAAAGATCTTGGTAAACTCCGGTATTTCTTGGGTATTGAGGTAGTCCAATCTAAAGATGGTTTGGTGATTTCTCATCGGAAATATGCTATGGATATTTTGGAAGAAACATGTTTGTTGAACGCTAAACCAACTGATACTCCTATGGATCCAAGTGTCAAACTACGACCCAATCAGGGGAGCCTCTATCAGACTCGGGAAGGTATAGAAGATTGGTTAGAAAGTTGAATTATCTCACAGTCACTCGTCCCTTGTCCCTTGTCAAAAACACATGGATGCTGTTATCTGGATTCTGAGATACATCAAATTTGCTTCAGGAAAAAGTTTAGTGTATGAAGATAAAAGACATACTCAGATAGGATATTCCGATGCTGATTAGGCATGATCACCAATTAATAGACGATCCACCTCTGGGTATTAGATACTTGTTGGAGGAAACCTTATATCTTGGAAAAGTAAGAAATAAAATGTAGTTGCAAGATCAAGCGTCGAGGCAGAGTATAAAGCCATGGCGATGGCAACATGTGAACTTGTTTGGTTAAAACAGTTGCTCAAGGAACTTAAAATTGAAGAAGCAAGACCAATCACACTTATTTGTGATAATCAAGCTGCATTACACATTGCTTCAAATCCGGTCTTCCATGAGCGGACCAAACATATTGAGATTGACTGTCACTTTGTCAGAGAGAAGATCGAGTCAGGCGACATCACCACAAGCTTTGTCAACTCAAATGATCAATTGATAGACGTGTTTACAAAATCTCTGCGAAGTCCCAGAACTAATTATATATGTGGCAAGCTTGATGCATTTGACTTATATGCTCAAGCTTGAGAGAGAGTGTTGATATATATATATATATATATATATATATATATATATATATATATATATATATATATATATATATATATATATATATATATATATATATATATATATATATATATATATATATAGTGTTAAGAATTTTGTATGTAGAATAGTCTCACATCGACTATATCATAGCATTAGTTGTAATCTCTCTATATATAATAAAATCTCTATAGTGCTTTTTAAAACACACGGTTTAACCTAAATGTCTCTTAGTCTCTCCTAATTCAATAGTATACACATTTCAAATGTCATTCATGTAATTAAGAATTAAGATAAGTATAGTCTTAGTCAATAGAAAAGCTTAAAATCGAAGGAAAAAAATACCTCAAAATAATCATCCAGCCCAAGACCTTCAACATCTACAGGTTCCAAAAAGGGCCATGCCCATCTGTGCTGAGTTATCTGAGAAAACGAAAAAATGATTCACTATTGAGCTCTAGCAAGTTTCAATATATTTAATCTTTTTTTGTCGGCATATGTGCTTTTTTTGTCTGCATATGTCCTCAACTCACTCTTGAACATTTTGCACGCAATGGACAAATAGGTGCTCAAAGAAAAAGAATTTTAAAAAATTCTTATGATACATTTGCACCTTAAACTAACTTGCTCATATATAAAACAAGTGAAGGATAATAAAATACTAAAATGCTGTCTACAACTGAAAGCTGATCAAAGTATTTTCAATATACAAGCTTCAAATGTCATTTATTGAAAGGAGAAAACACTCAATTCTGCCTGACATTTAAACTATTTTTGATGATAAAAAGTAGGTGTTAGACCCCTTTAGAAAGGGCTGAATGGGCTAGGCATTACATTGAAACTGACTTTCGTCATTTTGCAACAGTTGGGATTTTGAAGTAGTTATAACAATTATGTTTTTCAAATAAAGGCAGTTATTTTATATGTATTTGTAACAAGTATAAATAGGGAAAAAATAAGAAGGATGTGACAATTTAGAATTTATTAAAGATTATTAGGGAGTGAGAGAACCAAACTCTCTAAACTTGGAAGGAACATATCTCTATGTAATTTTGTTAACATTTTATTATCAGAGATATGTTCTTACCAAAATTAGAAAATTTGGTTCTCTTCCTTTCTAATAATCCTTAATAAATGCTGAATGTCCATTCTTCTTACCCTTTTCCTATTTATACTTATTACAAATACAAATAAGAACAAATAGCTGCTACTAATTGCTAATGGCTTTTATTTGAAAGACATAACTGTTAACTATTTTAAAATTCTATCTATTGTAAAACTGAACAAAGTCAGTTCCAATGTAACTCTTGCCCCATTTTGCACTTTCTCATGTAGTATCTTTTAATAAAGGATCTAACAGTAGGCTGGCGAGTCTTTAAGAAAATTTCAGTTGAGATAATGAAAATGTTAACGGTAGTAATCAGTACCATTTAAAAGTTTATTTCAAGACAAACTTATTTACGAGTGATAATCGGTTTAAGAATTCAAAATAAAATTCAAAGCCCCCTGCCATTTGGACGAGTTTTGATTTTCACTGTAATTTTATTTTGCAAAAGCATCATTAACCCTAACAATGATAAAAATAAAATTCAACAAAACTATTTGCACTTGCCTCACTCAACATTTTGGAGAAATGGCGCATGACCTCTTGCATTTCTTCTGAAGCACATTGCAGCGGCTTCCTAGATCCAGTAGGAGGCTTCTCCCGACCTTTGTTTTTGCAATCATTGTTTAGAACATCAATGGATTGGTAAAACTGTTCAACCTCCTTTACTTGCTTCTCAAGCTGCACTCAACACATGACATAAATAATGTTCAAAATTCAAGCTTACAAACACCACATGCACACCAATGCATAGCAGCAAGTTTATTTACCTAAACTAACAAAATAAATCTAATGTGAGAACTATTTAGGGTTTCCGCCAATCAAGAGAGACAATCGGATCGAAACTTTTAACTTCACCAAATATAATTTAAAATCCATCTCGAACTCGAGTCAAATGCAATCTGGCATTCAAGAGAATCATCAAACCACTTAAATTTCAACTTTGACAAAATATAATTTAGAAAACATCACAAATTGCGAGTCCTCGAATTTTCAAACAAAAGTCGTAATCCTCGACTATGTATTGATTCAAGAAACATAAATGATTAAAGCCTTTAGAATCAGAAAGTGCCAATAGCGATTTATGATAAAAAACAAATTGTGATTAATTCACACGGCGATGACCGCAGTCACTGATGTAACCCCTGTACCGACCGAAATCGCAAAAATGTTTACACGACCGCATCACGACTGTTATTAACCTTGATTCCAACATTAAACTGATCCTACTCTCAATCTCACGAAAATTATATAAAAGAACGAACTCTACAAAGGAATGGTGAAAACAAACTGTAATCACAGAAAACAGTAGTAAATTATGAAAGAGAGGAGTAACCTGATTAACTTGGGAGTTAAGTCCATAGAGAAAATGCTTATAGCGGTTTAAATTTTCAATGGAAATAGAGTGATTGTAAGGGTTTTCCTCTGAATTATGCACCATTGATGATTTACTGATGCACAATTCCACTCTCTATGAACTTGAAAACGTTTTCAACTCGTAATGGTGGGGTTATATAGAATAAAAACCACTTTTCCTGAACCGGTTTATTTTGGCGAAACAATTTAAAATCGGTTAAACCCGGTTCAGAACCGGTTGAAGAAATAAAACCAATTTCTGGTTTTTAATAGAGTTTGGGTGAGTTAACAAAACCTGGAGTTGTGAGTTTTGAATGTGACGTGGTGGTGATTCTGCAAACAAGGATGACGGCGGTGGTAACAGACAAGGACAACGTCGATAAAATTTGATTTAGAAGAAAATTAGCGGTGGAAACAGTTTCTGACGAGAACTTGTCGGCGAGCTGATCTCGAACTCGGATATGCGGACTGAATCCCTATGACTCTAGGAGTAAACCGGTGTTAAACCAATTAATTGAAATGCTAAACCGGGAGGATATCTCCTATCAACCCATTTTTACCTTATACCCTCCGAACACTATACTTTTATGCTATTAATCATGTAAAAAAAAAATTATTTTTGTTGAGATAAGAAGAATATTTGAAACAAAATTAAGAAATTAGAGAGATAGAAAAGACAATGAGAGTGTATTATATGTTTCTGGAATTTCTGTGTGTCTTTTGTTAAATTGTAATTCATATGTGTTAAAGAAGATTTGATTTGGTTTTAGATTTAAATAGATTTGATTTAAGTCTAGAATAGATTTGATTAGATTTGATTTAGTAACAAAAAGATATTTTTGGGCTTTGAGCTTAGGGTGTAAGCTCAGTTATAAATAGAGGGAGTAACCCCTATTTTTAAAAGTAAGTAAAGCAAGTCAAGTAAGTCAATTCATTGTAATCACAGAATTTGCAGTTGCAAGTGATTAAGAAAGTTTTCCACAGTTTGTGGGCAGAGAGAAACTCTGCAGAAACATTTGTCTTGTCTTTTTTTCTTTGTTTGTCTCATAATTAAATTGTCATTATGGTAGAAATTCATCATAGAATTTGGTGGATTTCCAACATCTAGTATCAAGAGCTTTTATTTCGATTCAAGGGAACTATCAATCAAGAACGATTGAAGAATTCACGATGACAAGTTATGAGAATGCAAACTATCCAGCAACACTGCCAATTCTGAAAGTTGATAACTATGAGAATTGGTGCAAACAGATGAAAGTTCTATTAAGGTGTCAAGGTCTTTGGGACCTTGTAAAAGATGGAGTCGAAGCGCTTGGCGAAAACGCTTCAGAAGAAGAAAAGAAGAAATACACAGAATCTGAGAAGCTGAGTTATAAAGCATTATTTATAATTCATCAATGTGTCAGCCCAGACAATTTCGAAAAGATTAGTGATTCAGAATCTGCAAAAGAAGCTTGGGAGATCCTTGAGAAGTCTTTTGGAGGCGCTGAGAAGGTGAAAGAAGTGAGGTTACAAACTCACAAAAGGACCTATGAACTGCTTCAGATGGAAGACAGTGAAAACATATCTGATTTCTTCACTAGAGTTACAAAACTAGTAAATCAAATCAAGATATATGGAGAAGCGTTAACAACAAGAGCTGTTGTGTCGAAGATCTTGAGATCTTTAGCTCCTAAGTTCGACCACATAGTGGTGGCGATAAAAGAAGGAAAAGACTTGTCGAAATTGACAAAGGAAGAGCTTCAAGGGACGCTTGAATCTCATGAACAAAGAATGAACGAAAGAGCTGCAGGAAAATCGAAGAGTGGTGTGGCCTTGCAGGCATATGCAGCAAAAGAGACCAAAGGCAAAGGAAAGTGTTTCGACAGAGGTAGAGGTGGCTACAACAAATCAAATGGTAGAAGAAATCAAATCGAAGGAGACATGTCGAATCAAAGAAGACCATACCAAGGCAACCAAAGAGGTGGTGTTGCAAATAGAGGAAGAGGTGGTGGTCGAAAACCTGATAAGAGTCACATTCAATGTTACAATTGTCAAAAGTATGGTCACTATTCGAGTGATTGTCCAGAAAAACGAAAGAATCAAGAAAGTGATGCAAAGCTTGCAAAACATGAAGAAGAAGAAGAAGAGATGATGCTGATGGTCACAACAAGAGATAAAGATAGATTCAAGGACCAATGGTACTTGGATTCAGGATGTTCATCACACATGTCTGGAAGGAAAGACTGGTTCGTCAATATAAAACCCTCAACGAAAAATATGGTAAAATTTGCAAATGACAATACCCTAGCAGCTGAAGGTGTTGGTGATGTTATGATCATGAGGAAAGATGGCAAGAAATCAATAATTTCAAATGTATTGTACATACCAGGCATGAAGAGCAATTTTCTCAGTATAGGGCAGTTGGTCGAAAGAGAATTATAAAGTGTCAATCGAAGATAAGTTGATGCGAGTTGTTGATGCAAATGGGAGATTAATCTTGAAGGCTCCTATGTCTCAGAATCGAACCTTCAAGATTGAACTAAATGTGATGGAGCACAAGTGCCTTTCGACTGCAGCTAGCAGAGATGAATGGATATGGCATTATAGACTAGGTCATCTCAACTTCAGAGACATCAGAGATTTGAAAAGAAGAAATATGGTTTCAGGATTGCCTGAAATTGACATTCCAAACGAAGTATGTGAAGAATGTGTGCAGGCGAAGCAACACAAGAATAGCTTCAGCAAGGATGCAGGAAGCAGATCGAAGGCTAGTCTTGAAGTCATATACTCTTTTGTATGTGGACCAATCTAGGTGGATTCGATGGGAGGTAACAAATACTTTGTTACATTCATAGATGATTTCAGTTGAAAGCTATGGACTTACCTTATCAAGAAGAAAAGTGAAGTGATCGAAGTATTTACCAGGTTTAAGTCTATGGTCGAAAGACAAAGTGGTCGAAAGCTCAAAGTTTTGAGAACTGATGGTGGAGGAGAATATGTGTCGAAAGACTTCGACAGATTATGTGAAAAGGAAGGGATTGTGCATGAGGTGGTGCCACCCTATACTCCACAACAAAATGGAATTGCAGAAAGGAAAAATCAAACCATCATGAATATGGTGAGAAGTATGTTGAAAGGCAAGAGTTTACCTAAAGAGTTTTGGGGTGAAGCTGTTTCGACTGCAACGTACATTTTAAACAGATGTCCTACAAAGAAGCTAGAAGGAATTACTCCAGAAGAATGTTGGTCTGGTGTGAAGCCTAGCTTGAGTCATCTGAAGGTATTTGGATCTATTTCACATAGACATGTGCCAGATCAGTTGAGAAGAAAACTTGATGACAAGTCAAGTCAAATGATCCTAGTTGGATATCATTCGACAGGAGGCTACAAGTTGTTCGATCCAGAGAATAAGAAGATTGTGAACAGCAGGGACGTGATCATAGATGAGTTTAAAGAATGGGATTGGACTACAAATGTCAAGAAAGATTCAGTGGGAATCCTATTCGAAGAGCAAGAAACTCAAGTCGAAAGAGAAGTTCGACCAGAGGAACCAGCAGATATACCAAGTACAAGCAGACCTCAAAGAACAAGACGCATGCCTGCAAGATTGCAAGATTGTGCGATTACATCAGATGATGTAATAGATAATGAAGGTGAGCTGGTACATTATGCTTTCTATGCAGATGTCGAACCTGTTAATGCAGCTGAAGCATTAAAAGATTCGAAGTGGGTGAAAGCAATGAACGAAGAAGTAAAGTCTATCGAAGACAACAACACTTGGTCACTTGTCGAATTGCCTTAAGGCAAGAAGGCAATTGATGTCAAGTGGGTATACAAAGTGAAAACGAATTCGAAAGGTGAAGTAACTCGACACAAAGCAAGACTTGTGGCGAAAGGATTTCTACAGAAAGAAGGAATAGACTTCGACGAAGTTTTTGCACCTGTTGCTAGGATCGAAACAATCAGGTTGGTTGTTGGTCTAGCAGAAATCAACAGTTGGCACATATCTCAGATGGACGTGAAGTGTGCATTCCTAAATGGACCCTTAGATGAAGAAGTCTATGTTAAACAACCAGTTGGGTTTGTGAAACATGACGAAGAAAGAAAGGTGCACAGACTACATAAAGCCATGTATGGATTGAAACAAGCTCCAAGGGCTTGGAATAAGAAAATTGATAGTTTTCTAAGGGAGAAGGAATTCATGAAGTGCATAACTGAATATGGAGTATATGTAAGAAGAAGCAAGAGTAAATTGCTTATACTATGTCTCTATGTAGATGATTTGTTGATAATAGGTAGCTGTAAGAGTGAGATCGAAGACTTCAAAGGTGATCTCAGTAAGGAATTTGAAATGTCTGATTTGGGTGAGATTTCGTACTTCCTTGGTATCGAATTCTACAAGAGCAGTAGAGGTTTGATGATGCATCAAAGAAGATATGCAGGAGAAATTCTCAAGAGGTTTGAGATGGAAGAATGCAACTCAACTTCGACACCTGCAGAACCAAGACTGCAACTGTCGAAAGATGCAGATGAAGATGATGTTGATCCAACCCAATACAGAAGACTTATTGGATCATTAAGATATCTTTGTCATACAAGGCCTGACTTAGCATACAGTGTAGGTATGGTAAGTAGATTTATGCAGAAGCCAAAGGTATCACATCTAGCAGCAGTGAAGAGGATACTAAGGTATCTCAAAGGAACTTTTGATTATGGCATTTTGTTTCCTGCTGTTGATAAAGGAAAAGAATGCAAGTTAGTGGGATACACTGATTCGAGTTGGTGTAGTGATGCTGAAGATCGAAAGTCAACAGCAGGATATGTGTTTATGCTAGGTGGTGCACCAATTGCTTGGAATTTGAGAAAAGAATCAGTAGTGGCATTATCATCATGCGAAGCAGAATACATAGTTGCTTCTCTTTGTGCATGTCAAGCAACCTGGATGGTGAACTTGGTCGAAGAGATAACAGGAAAAGATCATGGAGCAATTACCATGAAGATAGACAACATGTCAGCTATTAATTTGGCAAAGAACCCAATAGCACATGGTCGAAGTAAGCACATCGAAATGAGGTTCCATTATCTTCGAGAGCAGGTAGCAGA